AAACTCTTTATGCATTCAATGATTCTCCCTCATTTATCTTATTGTTCTACAAGTTGGTCTCATACAAGTATAACCATGTTAAAACCATTATATACTATTTATAAACAAACTGAAAATCTTAGCTAAAAAGCCAAGGAGTTATCATCACTGGAATATTATTAAAAATGATAAATTATTGACATTTGACAATTTTTTTATTATTTGCTGATGTGTGCTTGATGTACAAATTATTTCATGATCTTGCACCACCACCTTTAACTCTGGCACAACAGTGTTGTTGTGCGTTGTCCCTGTACAAATAAATTGAATAAATAAAAAAAATAAAAATAAAAGGGGTCAGTCGGAGAGAAGAGAGCGAGAATGCGTGTGTTATTGCCTGTGCCGCTGGTAACAAAACGGATCAGCTCGAATCGGAAAGAAGCGAGACTGACCGATCCGGGCCGATCATGAGGAAAATCGACCGATTCCGATCCCTGGCCGATAGATCGGTGCATCTCTAGTTAAAACATCAGGAAACAGTGCTTGAATTATACTGATAACCCGACAGAGACGCTGTGCTAATTAAAAAGCTGTTATTGTGTGGAAGTATTGTGGAGGTGTTCTGATTATAATAAGCTGTGAGTGTAAATGCTCAGTTCAGTAGCACATGCAATGCTGCGTCTAAATTGATTTGATGAATAGTTTTTGTAGATATTGCACTGGTGTTATTGACCACATATGTTTTTGTTAAAAATTAAAATAAAGCAATTTAAAAAAACCTCAGTTATATGTTGTTTGAGTCTGTGCTGCATTTTCATGTTGTGTCTTTCGTCTCTTCCTCATGTGTCCCACCAAAGCCCCTCGAAAGCACTCGTGGCCGAAGAACCGCGGGAGTTTCTGTCATTTCGTGCTCTATAAGGAGAACAAGGACACCATGGATGCCATCAACCTCCTGTCCAAGTTCCTCAGGTCTGTGAATCGCTGGTCTGAGCCGCCGCTGCCGCTCCCTAACGCCCCGCTCACAGCTCCTCCTCTGTTTCTGTAGGGTCAGACCCAACATGTTCTCCTACATGGGCACCAAAGACAAGAGGGCCGTCACGGTGCAGGAGATCGCAGTGCTGAAGTGAGTGAAGCCCGTCAGACGTCTGCTGTCCTCAGACTCGCCCGTGTTTACATGAATCTGAACGTGTCTCCACAGGATCAGCGCTGAGAGACTGTCTCACCTCAACAAATGCCTAATGAACCTGAAGCTGGGGAACTTCAGCTATAAGAAACCGCCCTTGAAACTGGGAGAACTGCAGGGAAACCACTTTACGGTGGTTCTCAGGTGAGACACTGACGCTCCGCTCCATATGAGCTGCTGGTTGACACATGTTTTGTTCTCTCGGTCTGATAAACATTTAAACCGGTTTAGACTCACTTCATTCTAAGCTGGGCTGCAAGGAAGAGTTAAGGGATAAAAATCTAAAATTCTTAATTTATTCACCCTCATGTTGAAGTTCTGTGAGCACTGCTGGTTTGTCACTGGCACAAGCTAGTTAAGCTGGTTATTGTTGCAGGTAGATCAGCTCGACCAGTGTGGCCATGCAGTACGTTTTCCCTGGTCAAGTCAAGTCACCTTTATTTGTATAGCGCTTTATACAATACTGGTCGTGTCAAAGCAGCTTTACAGTTTTAAACAGGGAAATAGTTTGTCAATAATGTAAGAAGACAGTCATTTTTCAGCTAAAGTCAGTTCATTGATGATTCAGTGATGCCATCATCCAGTTCAGCTCTCTTCTAATAGTGTCTGTGCATTCAGTCAAGTGTCCCCAACTAAGCAAGCTCATTCAAACGGGTCACCAGTGGGCCGGTCTGGTCTGGGTTTCTTGAGCATGAATGGTAAGAAAACTAGACTGCATGCCTGAATAAGAGTGGAGTATAGTTTTGAGTGTGTGAAGCATCTCTCCTCTACAGGAATATCTCCGGCTCTCAGGAGCAGGTGGAGCAGGCCATGACTTCACTCAGAGAAACTGGCTTCATCAACTACTATGGCATGCAGCGCTTCGGCACCACAGCCGTGCCCACACACAGAGTCGGCAGGTGACAGCACACACGCACTCAAGCGCACACTCACACACACGCACTCATACGCACTCACACACGCACGCACTCATACGCACTCACACACGCACTCTCACACACGCACACTCATGCACACACACTCTCTAACACACACGCACACACTCACACACACGCACTCACACACATTCATACACACACACACTAGGGGTTGAATGACTTCTGAGTTTTTGAAGTCGATTTTTATGTGATGAAAGTCAAGTCGAAGTCGACTAGT